TTTTTATCGAAAAATTTGATAAATTTAATATAAAAACCTACATGTTGAGCTAGCAGAAGATTAAACCCAAGTCCGAAGGCTACAAGAAATACTACCAGGATTACACTTAGCTTCAACACTGTTTTCAGGATGTCAAAAAACATAATCACGTAGATTCCAAAATATGGAAGTTGTCTGAAAAATATCATATCTAAATGCAAGGTTATGAGCCTTTAGAGACGGCTGTGTTCTCTGTTTCCTTATATTTATGATTCACTGCCACTTAAATTTTTTTCTTTCCCAATCATAAAATGAGCTACAGTGAAACTCTTAATAACGAATACATCGTAAGAATTTATCAAATGTCGTCTTGACAATTTTTCAATGAGTTTTATACTATATTACGTAAATTTTAGTATTTGCGAAAATAAATAAATAGCCATGAATATGCGGGAACAGCTTTAAAGAGGTCCATATAATCATTTAATTAAAAAATTAAATATCTGCAACATTCCATTATCAGAAAGTGAAGAATACGACATTTGATGAATTCACTGTATTAAAATACTAAATGAAAGGCAAAAGATGTAATTCAATCTTCATAATTTATTAGTTTCAGGTCGACTTTACAGTCTTATCCTTTGTGGGTAACCCTGTACAATAAAATGTTAAGTTAAATTTCTATTTGAAAGAGTAAGACGACATTTATGCCTGAATATAAATAGTATTTAAGTTACATTACCTGATATAACCTAATAAGTTTAACCAGGACAGGGTGAGCAGAAAGGAACCTACAGGCCATTGCCAGCACTGAACAAACCAATAATCATTATTTTGTATTTTGTCTCTTTTTATTTTTTCAAGTGACCTTCATTCATCACATTGGTAAAGTTTGAACCTCTATCTAAGTAACATTAAAAAAGTTATTATAGTTTTTCTGTCGTAAAACGTTCATTGTCTCTGTACCGTATAATCTATATCTTATCTATATACTAGCTAAAGAGCCCGGCGTTGTCCGTGAAAATTTTTTTTTTACAATTTTTGTTTTAATTTTGAAGAGGAAAATTTTTTTTTTTTTACTAGCTGAAGGGCCCGGCGTTGCCCGAGGGAAAAATAATTTGAAAAAAAAGACCCATGAGTGTCAACAGAAAATTTCAGCCCAATTGGTCCAGCCGTTTGGCCGGCTATACGCAACATATATATATATATATATACAAATGTCTTGTTTTATTATGTAGATATGACCAATTTGCCTCAATTTTTATTGGGGATCTCGGGAGAACCTAAGAACCTAACTTTGAGATTCTAAGTTGAGTGGGTCAACTTTTATAGGGAAAAGTAGCTAAAATCGTATTTATTTTAAGACCAAGCGCGGGTAAACGGCTGAAGTAACTATAAACATCACGTGACCACAGAGAAAGTCATGAATGATCAAAATTTCAAATATTTGTCTCCATCAAAATTCGATCTTCATTAAATTTTTGAAAATTTTGAAAATCCACGAATTTTTTTGTGAAAATCCGCGAATTATTTTTGTTTTGTTTTACGATGTACACAAAGAGAACATGTTCACTATTAATTTAGAAGATGGGCGCGAAGCGCCCCATAAGGCTAGTAAGAAATAATAAGAAATGACAAACCGCAGAAAAGATAAACATCTGAATGTTTACAATTGCTCTTTTATTTAAACATAGGCCTTTGTACTTTTATTTCTTTGTACTCTTATCCTTTGTACTTTTATCCTTTGTACTTTTATCCTTTGTACTTTTATCCTTACCCACGTGAATTGCTGAAGTTCAATAAGTACACCAAGTCCAGTAAATATGTAGACTAGTACTCTGAAGGTGATCTGTGTACCTGATAATCCCAATGTATTCCTGTAATTAAAATATCTAATTTCTAAAATGAACATTTCGCAATTTGTATAAATTTTATAAATAGATCCTACTACTGTCCAATGAGAAAAAATTAGAGTAAAAACGTGCCAAATTTTTTTACGGAAAGTGCAAAATCATTCAAACCCTCAAGGACTTTTTATAAAGGTAAGATTTATGCGAAATTACTGGTATGACTTTGTGACCTCGTGAGGAAAGTATGAGGAAAGTAAAATCGCAAATTAGAAACTTTGATCTTCTCTTTAAAAATAGGGGTTTTGATTAAAACATGTAAAATTCAAATCTAATCGGATTGACGTGCAAAGACGTTAATTTCAATTGGTTGGAGAAATTCAATTTTATTTTGAAAGATTTGGCCCCTTCTCAATCTTCACCGTTCACATCAGTTACGAAATAGGTTTTAAAAACAGAATGTTTTTAAAGTAAACTTTATATCTAGAACTTAAAAAAGGAGTTTGACTCAAGAGTTTTAAAAAAGATTATTATATATCATTATATAATAATTATGGGAATTAAGTGACGATTGCTATTAGTCTTTTTTCCGCGTAGCGTTATTAAGTGAACACAATTTTTGTAGTATTCCATTTTAAACAGTTTATAATTAAAACTTCTGAGATGGAATTTAAAGAATTTGAGCTGCGGTTTAAATCGGCCAAAACCCGGTTTAAATTAAGCGGCGGCTTAAATCATAAAACATTTGATACAATTTTAAGTGGAACCAACCATATTTAAGCCGCGGCTTAAATTCAAACCGCCGCTCAAATTCTTAAAATTCGGCCACTGGTCTTGTGAATTCCAAAATATGGTTTACAATATTTAAACCTTAAAAATTGACGGAGATCAGAAGATATCTTATTTCAAAAATAAAAACGAAATCTTTAAAAAGTTTAATATTTCCGTCATATTTTAAAGATACAAAGAAGGCAGATTTTAAAACGATCATACGACGTTCAGTCTTTATTTTCATCCCCTCAATTGTCATTTATTAACCATCGGAAAGTCTTTTAATTCGCATGTTTATTGGGACACTACATTCTGAATCTATAAAAACCTCAGTCTTTTTCAGTTTTTTAAAACCTACTTTAAGCTGATAAAGCTGAAAATTTGTTCCGGTTTGATCAGACTAGCTGTTTCAATTAATTCATAATATTCAAGGATTTATATTTTCTTTGAACCCTCCGGGCACCATCATCAATTCATTATGTATTACTTTTGGGAGAAATGAAAGGAATTTAAGTTTAAATAGAGAATTAAAAGCTTAATAAATATTAAATTTTGTGAAGGTTTTGAAAAACATTTGTTACATAATTTTACAAATTGTACAACCATCGATCAAGATTTAGGAAGTTTACTAAAAAGACAGACGTCATTGATTATTATATTCAAGAATTATTAAAGGGACTGTTAACAACAATACTGCTTACACCTTTATCTGTAAGTAGCTTTAAAATTAATATGATCACTCAATCAATCATTCAATCGATCAATCAAAGTTTTAGGGATGTCCTATAACTACCCAAATATCAAACTCAAGATGTAATTACTAAAGAATGAGCTATGGTCCTACAGCTTGTGTTTAGGCTTTAAAAAAACAAAAAAAACTATTTCCTGAACATTATTTTGTTTTCTTTTAATCAACTTTTAACCCTATTTGCTCGCGTCTTTCTATTGAAAACTCTTGTAATCATAAAAAGGTGAAATCTTAATTGCATTTGCAAGATTATCAATCGTGTCCCTCAGATACATATGTATGCGCAAGATTGGTTCATTTGTATGAGTTGTATAATTCCTAATTCCAACACTTTGAATATTATGTTCATTTTCAAATACCTGAACAATCCCTTTAAATTATCAAACTTACGTGGTTCTTGATCGATTGAAAGTAGAAAACATTTGCCTCTTCTCGTCTGCACTCGGGAAAGTCTGATAATCAATTTATTCGTTTCCCGCATTTGTTATTGAAATACAATAAAGTAGAGAGCTAATGTCGTCTTCTGTTGGAATTCATAAATGAATATTTGGATTTGGTTTAAGGGTTGCATTCAGTCATTGTCTTAGGACGGATAACTTTTATATTTTAATCCCTTTTTCACTCGGCTTCATATGGTATGACGATGATAACAGAGATTTAAAACTGTATAAGGTTTTTATGAAAAATGTTGCCGACTACATTTTTTTTTTTGGGGGGGGGAATTTATTCTTAAATATCAAATAAAGTAAGTTATCAAATTAAATCTGAAATGAGTTAAATAGAATAAAATATTAAGAATGAATAAATATAGATTATCCCTGTGGGTTCAGAGACACTAGAGTGTACCCTGTGATTGAGATCAAGTACAGTAAATACATCAGCAACTAAAAGTACTTTACTCATTACATGTTTACTAATACATTGTACTTAAATGTTAAATAAACAATCACTTAGAAATAAAAGATAACTAAAATGATCCCTCTGTACTATGGCGGGATGTGCGGTATGCAAAGAGAATAGAATATATATTAGAGTGAAAAAAAAGTATAAAACGGCCATTTTGTTGTACTACTGCAGGTCTACTTCATATATTTATGCTATATAACCTTTTGGGCCCTGGAATATCATTTTATAGAAAATCTAAAATTAATATTAAAAGAAAACCAAATTATGAAATAGGCTGGTTTCATAATTGACCAATGATCATTTTACATAGACTCTATGCCTTTCACTTTACAAACGACATGATTTTCTGTTATAACTATAAATCAAATGATGTTTTTTATTCACCTAATTCATTATAAAGTTTATATAACAGTTTTAAAAAATTCGAAATTTAAATGGATAGTCTAGGGAACATACTGTATTAATGTACTCTTGCATATAATTTGTGAACATTTACATGATTTGTACACTTTGAACTCCCTTTCAGGCTGAAAGGGACTGCAAATATTCATACCGAGAGATTCTCTAAATTCCCCTCTAATATATATTCTATTCACTTTGGCGGTATGTTATGCTATTTAACTGTCTCTTGGAAGAATTACTAAAAAAGAACCTCCTCCTCTGAAAAATTCTTATGAGTTATGAGATATCAAATCCAAAACAATTTTTCAATTTTATAACAAGAATAAAATGCGCCAAGTTGAAACGTCCAATTAACGGTTACTTTTAAAGGACCAATTATTAAAGTGACTGTGAGTGTCAAATCATTTTTTTTAATAAAAAGAACTTATTCCACATTCATTCTCAGTTATAACTAATAATTGTAAGTAAGACAATGAGTAGCTTATTATACCTGAAAGTAGAAAACGTATCTGCCAATAGCTTGCCATTTATGTCTACAGATTGAATCATTTTTAACTAAAATATTGTCAGTTATAACTAATAATTGTAAGTAAGACAATGAGTAGCTTATTATGCCTGAAAGTAGAAAACGTATCTGCCAATAGCTTGCCATTTATGTCTAAAGATTGAATCATTTTTAACTAAAATATTGTCAGTTATAACTAATAATTGTAAGTAAGACAATGAGTAGCTTATTATACCTGAAAGTAGAAAACGTATCTGCCAATAGCTTGCCACTTATGTCTACAGATTGAATCATTTTTAACTAAAATATTATCATTACTCTTAAATAAGTATCTTTATTTAACTTAGTTGTAATTTTGAGTGGCTCTCCATTGAAAGAGTGTCATCACAATGACATCAAGTTAAAAAAGCGACAATATCTTCCACAAACAGATTGTCCCTCGAAACATGACAGTAAAAACGAATTAAATGCCGTCTTTGATCTTTAAAATAATTTAAAGCATTTTTCTGTCCACATAGTTGTATATGTAAGATGTTAGCAACAATAATAAAAAATACCTTCTAGCTAGTACAATTTGTGTGGTCTGACTTTTTGTACTTTCAATATTATCGGAGATATTACAAATTTCAATCATAAAAGACGACATGTATAGGGTATTGTTGTGAATCCAACATACACTTCTTTAACTGGTGGGAGTTTAGAATTACAAGAACAGTCCCTTTAAAGATTATTTAATTCTATGCTTTATGTACCAAACGTAATTTTTTAAAAAAATATACATAACACTTATCCTTAATGGGGCCCCTGTGGGTTTATAACGTTAAAAATACACATTTTAAAAAAAAAATTATTTTCTTTAAGAAAATAGATGACATTTTTCGTAGTTGTATAGGGGGGGGGGGGGTTAATGTTTAAAATTCAGAAAAAGAAGAAGGAACTATGAAGTTAATTAACAATTTTGCACGTAGTTGAGAAATGCTAGTTAAAATATATTCCTAACAAGTGCAACACAGAGCGGATGTTTGAGAAGATATTTCTCCTTCTGTTCTCCCATTATCATCAGAGGGTGGTTCTTCTTCCTAAAAAGATTATAAATATTAAACGGTGAGACCCTTTTTAAAACTGTAGAATATGAAGTCGGCTGTAAGACTCAAGTTATGCATTTGAATATTCCCAAAGACTTTGCTAATTTCTCTGACTATTGTGTACGCCAGTCTTACAATATTCCAATGAACACGAAATGCGGCTAAATTGTGTACTTTACACAGCGGTATTTTTAATTTGTATTTGCTTTATAACAACATTAAATACACATAAGTTTCATATTCCAAAGTTTTACGGTTCTTAATTTCTATCTTAATTTAAAATGTAAACGCTTAAAGCTGATAAAAACGTGTTTTTTTCTTCATATTTTATGTATTACCTGACATCTCCATTGACATTGTATGGTTTAGTGAAGGGAAGAACATTATTATCTTCGTCCCAATCACAGTATTCAAACCTTATCCTCTCTCCAGTACCCACCTAAAGATATATTAAACCTTATTCTCTCTCCAGTACCCACCTAGAGATATATTAAACCTTATTCTCTCTCCCGTACCCACCTAGAGATATATTAAACCTTATCCTCTCTCCAGTACCCACCTAAAGATATTATAAACCTTATCCTCTCTCCAGTACCCACCTAGAGATATATTAAACCTTATCCTCTCTCCAGTACCCACCTAGAGGTATATTAAACCTTATCCTCTCTCCAGTACCCACCTAGAGGTATATTAAACCTTATTCTCTCTCCAGTACCCACTTAGAGATATATTAAACCTTATCCTCTATCCAGTACCCACCTAGAGATATATTAAACCTTATCCTCTCTCCAGTACCCACCTAGAGATATATTAAACCTTATCCTCTCTCCAGTACCCACCCATCAGGTTGAAAAGATATAGGGTTTAGAAAATTTAATTTTAAGTCGAGTAATCAATTATTTTACCTCTTGAAGATTAAAGATGTCTTCCAGGAACTCAAAATCCAACTCCACAACCCGATCAAACTTCCTAGGTATTCATTACTTTAACTAAAACTTTAACAGTTTCTAGAATCAGTTTTACAAGGAGGTTCTTTTGATTCCCATCCAGGTATCAACTCCCATCTTAAGACATATTTTAACAGTAAAATATTTTTATTAAAAACGAAGAAAGCTTAACATAATGACGATTAACCCGAAAGGAGACCTTGGTACGACTTTTTTTCCTCTTGATTTCTCTAACTTTCATTTTACACCCAAGAGGGATAAACACAAACTTGCTTGGTTGTACATATATATATATATATTAATTATCTATTATGGGGTTCCCACTAAATCTAAATAAACCTAAATGTTAATTTTAAATTATCAATTTAAACTTAAATTTAATGTAATTTTCCCTGTACATTGTACAGTGTACAACATTACTAACGAAATTAAAGCTCTTACCTCAACCGGCGGCGGCTTTAAAAGTAATTGCTACAATTATGAGGGTAATTTACGAATACCATGATAATACAAAATTAGATTTTTCTAGAAATTTTCAATTAAAAATCTTAATAATGTAAAATGTTGTGTATAATGTTTACCTGCCGTAACTACCTTTTCTGTTTATTTTTTTAACAGATAAACATTTATCAAAAACCAGTTCTGCCAGATCAGGAAATGTTCTGCACACCGGTCAAAACCAGAATTTACCAAATTCAAGATAATAATGGACAAGAAGAGTTCAAAGAGGGACAGGAAGAGTACAACAAGGGACAGGAAGAGTTCAAAGAGGGACAGGAAGAGTACAACAAGGGACAGGAAGAGTACATAGAGGATCAGGAAGAGTACACAGAAGGACAGGAAAGTACAAAGAGGGCCAAGAAGAGTACAAATCGGGACAGGAAGAGTACAAAGATAAATACCAACTATTAAACAAAAGAGGTCAAGGTTACAAAAAAGATATTTCGAAATAAAAAAGTGCATAACGTTATTTTATAAAAAAAATTATCTAACTTAATCTTGAGATTGTTGAGTGATGAGACTGGTCAAATATATTTGAATTTGCAAATACTAATAATGAGAGATTTGAAGTTATCAAAAATAAATTCAATGTGATTCAACGCTCCCCCCCCCATTAATAAATATTCAAATACAAATAATAAAAACGATGATTTTTTTTCGAAAAATATAAGATTAAATCATAAAACGCTGAGGGAAAAAATATTAAAAATAATTTAAAAAGCGAGTGCGCTTTAATAGAATTTCTACTTATATTCGACACTATTGTAAAGAAAACTTTTCACACAGAACAGACTTCTCACGAAACTAACTGGTCTTAAGATGGACAGGATGTTAAAAATATTGTGTAGTAAATAGTTTTAATCTGACATTTATACATTCATTATTGAATTATTTATGAAAAATCGAACCAATTTGTTAATGAAGCCTTGAGTGCCCACCATTTTTAGAATGAAAAACGATTAAATCTTTTATAAAATCGTGCTCGGTGGTTTTGTTCCTAATCAGCATTCGTAGAGGTGTATTTGGTACTGGAGTTCCTCTAGAATCCTTTGCAGTAGAGGTGGATCTTAAAGATAGTCTCCAAACATCACTTGTCAATATAGTCTCTGCTACTGATCTAAACAGTATGGAGGTATACAGTGGTCATCAATACAGTGTCGGTAAATTGTGATGTGATTCAATTTCAGAGCTCGATAATTCATCAGTAGATAGATACCGACCAATCTTTATTCAATACCGGATATTGCATTTAAATATATCTTAGTCTCTGTATTATCACGGTGGACTAAGCCAGTGGGGTCGGTCATAATAGGCCTAGGATTAGGCCGGGTACTGTAAAAAGTCTGAACGCGCCATGGGAGTTGTCTGCATAGTTAGTCCTCCGACGGGACTATGCCAAGAAAATTGACCCCTGTCATATGTTTGTCTGGTTAGGGCGACGTATTGTACAGAATATGGTCAGTACACGCTGTTATCTGGCAGGCCGGTACAAACTGGGCAGGTCCTGTTCGAATTCAAATTTACTACGGCCCAGAGTTACATATATATCACCCTTTTAGAAAACGATTTTATATTGATTTACAGGGTTTCCCACAATGGACGACCTAAAGCTCTTCACATAAAGCGCCCTGGAGGTTAAATTTAGGTTAATGCCATGGATACAGTCTTTTAATAACTACATATTAAATGGCATGGCAAAAAAACCGTAAATCTAAGAAAAAAGACTGAATAGTTTTTGTACAATCGTTTCTGAAGTCTCAACCTTTGTGGATAACCCTGTATATGCTGACCTGCAGTAATAATATAATGGATCTTCTGTCTTAAATAAAGAAAAATATCGTCTTTGTAACTAATCTATACAGTACAAACATTAGCTTGTGTAGTTGTTGATCATTACAAACAAATTACCCGGTTCTATCCATCTATCTCAAAACAATACGCGGATATTTACTTCAAATATTGAAAAACAATTCTGATGAATTCAATTTATCCAGCTTTTGATTCCTTGGAACTCTTTAAATGAATTGTCATCAACACTAATTTTAAGTAATGTTGCATTGAAAAAGCAAAAGGCTCTATGTTTTCCCATCAATGAATAATGATGCAGTAGCGGAATTTTTTGCTTGGTTTTGTTGTAAAAAAGAACAAGAAATCAATGATAGGAATAGCTAAAGGATTTTTACGGCATAACAACATTTTATAAGGAATCCAGGACAAAATTACCTATCATTTTCTTTGGGTCGCAAAGATATAGGAATTATAAATTCAGAGTTTGTGGCAAAACTCAATTCCTTTAACTTACTTTTTGCCATGTATAATGGCAATTTCTAGAGCATTCTCTCCGTCTAGGTTGGTTAGTGTAACATCAGCTCCATTCATCAGAAGCAGTTCAACTACCTGGACAAAAATAAATACTAAATAACATCAGATTAACGCCACATTTTCTACGTTTTTTTGTGTGAATTTCACTCCCCCCCCTCGACATTAAGGATATTAACAAAATGTATTTTCAAATTTATAGAAATAAAGTTACAAATAATTCACAGTAACATGGCTTTCGTTTATTGGTGCTTTCAGCAATTATATCTGCAGTATATAAATTCAGAAAAATCAGAATACGTTAATTTACAATGTTGCGATAGCTCAGAGAACAAAAGTAAGTATAAAACCGTGAAGTGAAAAAAGTTTTTGTTCTCTCGTATATATTGTAAAATTTGTTATTTTTAATACTTTTGTCTAATAATGTTTAGAGCATATTACGTCATATCACGTTACAAAATCCAAAGCCAAATAAATAATGAAAAGAAATGAAAAGAATATTTAGGATTAAAATAATTTCTCTTAGATATCCCGTGGCTGGAACCTATCCAGGGATTACTTTAAATTAGAGTTTAATCCTTTATCCGTTGCCACAATGCATATCAAATTTCTAGATAACGTCTTGTAGATTAGCGCTATCTAACACACACGTTTTGACCTCAGAGTTGGGAACTTTAGAATGGGATACCTGTAATCCCGACTTCTTAATCCGAATATCCAATGTAGACACTTTTTGTCCTTTTACTTTTTGCCTATATTCTGGGGACCCCTGTATGATATTAAAATGTCTAACATTACTATGACCGAACTGTGCAGCCAGATGAAGAGGAGTTGTCATCTTCTTGTCCATTGGATCAACAGGACTATTGTACTCTAACAGTATCTCAGCACATCTTAAATATTAAATAAAACGTATTAAAAATACTTCTAAATTATAAATTATGAACTGTGAAAAAAGAATAAAATAAAAATGGCCTTTGTATAAAAAGAATAAATTATTGGTCCAGCTTTAGTTTTTTTATATAGTTTAAGAATTGTAAAATTGTGAACTATCTGTTTAAATATAAAAACCTGAAAGCTCCAGCAGCTGCTGCACAATCTAGAGGAGTCCAACCTTTATTATTTCTGTCCTGCACCTATAAAACGTATACAATTGTTAAACTGCCAATATTATTTCTGTCCTGAACCTATACAACGTATACAATTGTTAAACTTCCAATATAATTTCTGTCCTGCACCTATACAACGTATACTATTGTTAAAGAGACTGTCAAAATTATTTCTGTCCTGCACCTATACAACGTATACAATTGTTAAATAGACTGTCAATATAATTTCGAGTGACACTGCAAACCAAAATACGCAGCAAAAATATAACAGAATTTTGCCAATAACTTCTTTTACCGCCTTTTGACCAACATTACCGACTTATGATTCCCTCAACAGAGAGAGGTCAAGTTACTTTAAATAACCACCCGCTTTGCGAAGTTTTCGGAAAAAAATTTGTGCATTTTCATCACAAAAGACGATAAAGTTGAATAAAACTATTTTTTCGGATAATTAAAACTGTTACTTAACCACGGGTTGCCTCGACCAATTTTGTCTGAACAACAGTTGTAAATTATTATTAAATGAAACCTGGAACAAGCAAATTGAAGTTATGAAATGTGCCCGTCCAAGGCTACAAAACAAATATTAGTTAAAAAAAAATATGTATGTTGCAGTTCTGACCAAACATCTAGTAGTTACTTTTTAAGGAATTTATAGGATCCATCAGGGTTCAGGTATAGATTTAAATTTCGTTGATGGTGATGGACCAAACCTCTGTAGAGTTTAGAGTAATAAAAGTAGATGTTAGTTCCATATTTATTGACCATCGTTGTTGGTGAGATATACCTAAACCAAAGTCGTTGCAACACTTCAAATCCGACGCGGTCTTAAAATCTGATGAATAACTTTCAAAGTTGTCTAAATATCTGTGGTGACCCTTCTTTGAAAAAGTCAAATGCCCGAGTCACAGTGGCACCCTTTGAACCTATCTAAGTAAAATTGAAAAAGATTGTTTTCTACTTCAAAAATAATTCTGTCTATTACTTTTCTTGTCTCTGCTACATAAGTCAATTTGAATGGAAATTTATGGAACGGAAAAAAATGCATTATATAATATTTTACCCAACAGATAAACTTCAACAGATAAACTTCAACAGATGAACTTCAACAGATGAACTTCAACAAATAAACTTCAACAGATAAACTTCAACAGATAAACTTCAATAGAAAAACTTTAACAGATGAACTTCAACAAATAAACTTCAACAGATAAACTTCAACAGATAAACTTCAACAGATAAAAAAGTGTGAAAAGACAAACTATTGGGATTGACTAGAAAATTAGCTGAAGTGCTGAATATCGGCATAAAACCTTTTTCCTGTGGCAAAATGGTTAAACTGAGAAATATATCACCAATTTATTTCTATTTTACCCAGGGAGGGAGTTAAATGTGACATTTTTAAATTTTTGTTACAACTTTTTAATTGTTTTAATTGTTTGGCCAGCAATTTATAACATACATACAAACATACAATTTTAACGCTATGCTTGATATACGGTTTAACCCAGAACTTCGGAGATTCGAAAGAATATATAAAATGTCGTCTTGACAATTTTTCAATGGGTTTTATATTATACCTAAATCTTAGTAATTGTAAAAATAAAAAATAGCTATGTAATATTTGAGAACAGTTTTAAAGGGCTCCATTTATAATCATTCAATTAAAAAACTAAATATCTGCAGTTAGTTAATTATCAGTATAGATTAGAAGACGACATTTTATAAATTCTCTTGATTTCTCCGAAGTTCTGAGTCAAACTGTATAAGAATTGATCTACCTTGGCATTATTTTCCAGAAGGATTTTCAGACAGTCTGCTCTCTGATACTTGGAGGCTAAACATTTAGGCAATCTTTTTTTCAGTGAATTCTAACTTTTTAACCTATTTATACCCCTTGAAGGGACTGTGAGCGTAACTTTTAACTGTTTATTTTAATTTGCGGATTCTCTTTGAAATTTACTTGCACATGCCTTGTTAAAAAGAAGAATTGGAGTATAACTTAAATAAATAAATAAATAGAGTTTATTATGATAAAAATCCGAGGATGAACATTCATATAAAATAAGATTATACATTTTAAATTAGTCATATTGGTATAAGCATATATATGTTCATCAATCATTATTCAGTAATCTCTGGGTATATGGTATAGATGATCTCCTTAGCCTCTCCGTCCTGGCTTGAACAACTGTGAACAGATTCTGTTCTCTAAGGTTATGGTTGTGGAGAGGAATATTTCTCTGAAACAGGGATCTGTGGTTTGAGCTTCACAGACATTTTTTCCCAAACGATAGACAGTTTTTCTTGACGAACTTCTAGTGTTTCAAGGTTAGACACTTCAAGTGCAGACTCATATCCTTTATATTCTTGACCAAGTATTACTCTATTTTCTGCACTCGTTCTAGTGCGCAGGTCTGGTTGACCGTCAGTTTGGAGTGCCAGACCACACAGGCATATTCCAGTAGGCAGCGTATAAACGATATAAAGGTTTTGAGTAGATCCTGAGTGGACATACCAACATATTTTAATTTGCACAGCAAGGATATTCGAGAATATGCCTTTTCGCACAGCTCTGAAGTATTTAATACCCAATCTAAATCTTCACTTATCCATACACCTAGAAGTTTGGTTGCTGACACCCTTTCCAAAATATTACTATCTAGGTTCAGCCTCGTACAGAGTGAACCATATCTCCGGGTAAATATCATGTAGTTGCATTTAGCAGAGTTAAGCATCATTTTATTGATCCTTGTCCATCCAGAGATGGTATTAATATGATTCTGCGTGAGTAGATTACATTGATGAATATAAAGTTGGTCGGTTCCTATATCCGATGGTACTGCAGGGGCTTACAGTTGTAGGATGAGAGATTTCCAGAACAGGGAGAGAGAGATAAGAGTTCTAAGATTGTCAGATCATCCACATATTGAAATCTTAAGTCTGGTTGCACACAATTAGCATTATCATTGCACTGGACCAGGTATTCAAGGACTCCCATCAGGGTTCCTTGGCAACCTCCTCCAGGCATGTGGTAGGTAGAAGAAGTAGTTCCATTGAACTTCACCATTATATATCGGTCCTGGAGATAACTAGCAAGTAGCTGATTAATAGAGGCCCGAACACCAATAGTGGAAAATTTTTGAATTGCAATGTTAGGACATTGTCTATCAAATGCTGCTGACCAATCTAACATATAGTGGAAATTAAAGCAGGTTAGGATTGATTGTTATCCAGATGAGTAATTATCTTGTCCAACATCTTGACTAACATATGGTCTGTCCCAGTACCTTTCTAATTACTAAATTGCACTAGGTCTAAATCTGCTTGAATGTCTTCTAAAATCCAGGTTTTTAAAAATCTTTCAAATAGTTCACTGTAGTCACTGGTGAAGGGTGTTTTCCTTAGATAACTTCGGGGTTTTTAGTTTTTGGCACTTGTAGAAATAAACACTTTTCGGGCCAAAAATTAAAAAAGTAAATATATTCCACATTAATGATTCAATTAAAGTTTCAAAGGTACCGTTGTAAATCGGGCATTGCCATCTTTGCATGAAGGTTCACTTAAAATTACGTTTACAGTCCCTTTAATGTAAACTTTTCGTATTTCCTATCTTATCCTTTTTGTAGTGTAATTTATTTTAAATACCTCCTGTTTGGCGGAATTTGAATAGGATATCAAATCTGATTATATTATTATCTTATCATATTATTTATTATTATATTGTTATATCGTTATAAGATCATATTCATAAAGATTAAATTAATATATAAAAGTTTAGAATTACCAATATGGAGCGGAGTTTGTTCATCCTCGTCTTTATCAAAAATAGCATTTTTATCTTTCTCGAGAATAACACGAATAACTTCGGCATGACCAGACCTAAAACATATAAAATCAGGGTTTAACAAAGTAATAATAATTGGAAAAGTATAAAATTCTGTTAGTTTCCTTTCTTGTCTATGCTACATAAATCCGCGGATTTCAATTATAACATAAAACCCACAATTTAAAATTATAAATTTTCACGGAGAAAAACAAGGATATGTTCATGATTTTTTTCCCTCAGATAGAAATATCGCCTACAGTCCCTTTAATATATACAAGTTTACGAACCTGGCCGCCAAGTGGCAGGGGGTCTGCTCGTCTTCATTCTAGAAAATAGTATTGGGTCTAAGGAGTATTAAAGGGAGTGACTGGCAAGGTATGTTAGTTGAACTGAGAATGTAGTATTGTGGAGATTTCTTGTAGGATTCATTTGATACATACGCAACGTTTAATTATGTATAGTTACTGAGTATAAGCGCAAATCGGGTTTTTTTAAACATTTAAACTGAGAAAATATAACGATGCACAATATTGCAATACGAGGCGATTTACACTATCTTTTGTAATAATGGACATTAGCAATATGATTTGATATTTGGTTAAGTCTAAATGTGTTTAACTGGATCTTACTGTGACGTATTTGGACAGCTCTAGACGAGCATTGTATTTCTACATTATCTGTTGAATTCATAACAATACAACTAATTCAGTGGTCGGCGCTCATATCAATACAGCGAAGATGACTTTTCTTTTGAGGTTTTGATCTCTAACAATTTTTTTTTCAAATTTCAAAAATTCAGGTGAATATCTGTTAATTTGCAACTTCTCATTGCTTTCATTTTTCTTTATATCCAAGCTGTTTCAAACATAATTGACGTGAGAGACGTCTTTATTGTATTGCTATATACGTAGACGACTGTACGTCAGAGTCTATAGTCTCCTAGAAGTATCACACTTTGATTGGGTCTAATTGGACCATGAAAATATAAAAAAATGAATACTTTCGTTCCCAGAAAAATGTAATGGGAACTCACGAGGCATATTTAGACACATGATATGAAGAATATGATGGTGGTAAGTAAAAAAGATGAATAAAATTAATGTTTAAACGAGCTCCACTTAAAAATTTCCCGTTTAGAATATTGATTTTCAGTGCAGCATGATAATAAAAAATGAAAAATTATACATAATCAATTAAAAAAACAAAAAACATTATAATTCACCTTATTATCGACATCTCCTCCAATCTCAAGAAGTATTTTTACACAATCAACGTTTCCCTGAAAGATGAGGGATTTACACATATTAGATGTTTAGACGTTTAAAGGTTTAGATGTTTAGACGTATAAAGATTGGAAGGTTTAGATGTTTAGACGTATAAAGATTGTAAGGTTTAGATGTTTAGACGTATAAAGATTGGAAGGTTTAGATGTTTAGACGTATAAAGATTGGAAGGTTTAGATGTTTAGACGTATAATGATTGGAAGGGTTAGATGTTTAGACGTATAAAAATTGGAAGGTTTATATGTTTAGACGTATAAAGATTGGAAGGTTTATATGTTTAGACGTATAAAGATTGGAAGGTTTAGATGTTTAGACGTATAAAGATTGTAAGGTTTAAATGTTTAGACGTATAATGATTGGAAGGTTTAGATGTTTAAGAGGTCATCATTTTAATGTGATTGAATGTCTCGAGAAGTTTAGCTATTTTGGTGTTATCAAGATGTTTAGGCAAATATTTTAGTTATTAGTGCATGCATAGGAACAGGTTGAGAACAATAATGAACTTCCATCATTGGAAATAAGTTATTTAAATACATTTAAAAATCTCGCAGTTTTATGCAAATTTTTTCAGCTGGGGTCGCTTGTTGGAGGTTTTCTTTATTTTAATTATGAAGACAATATTTTGAAAAAATCTGTGAAAAAAAATTTAGAAACAGCAAAGGTAATAGTGATGAGGAAATTAAGGATTCTACGGTTCTATTATGACTTTCATCGATAATTTCTTTTCAGAAAAACAAAGGATGAGACTGTTAAGACGACCAAAAAATTCTTAAATATGACGATCCCAAGGTTAAATTAAGTCCTCTGCTATATGAATTAAGTCTTTTATTGTTTTATTTTTTGATTTAGCAAAGAAAGAAACAAGTTTACAGTTGTAGGGAATCATAAATGTAAGGAAACAGACAGCATAAATTCTGTTTTGTCGTCTCTGAAGTCTCATCCTTTGTTGGTAACCCTGTATGTTCCTAAACAGCAAATAAAAATATAAATAAATTTTTTACATGTTTGGCCATGTTATTAAATAATTGTAAAAAACGTTTCTTCTGCTAGCTGAAACAACTGGTGAAATATTACTTTACGTTCTTATTTAAAAATTGTACACCGTAAAAATGTCTCATTGGTATCAAATGAATGTTCAAGTTTTTCTCTACGATCACTCTGGGCCGTAGTAAATTTGAATTCGAACAGGACCTGCTCAGTTTGTACCGGTCTGCCAGATAACAGCGTGTACTGACCCGATCCTATGGTACAGTGCGTCGCCCTAACCAGACTTGGCATAGTCCTGTCGGAGGGCTAATTTTGACAACTCCCATGGTGCCGGGTGCGTTCAGACTTTTTACAGTACCCGGCCAAATCCTAGGCCTATTTGACCGACCCCAATGGCTTAGTCCACCGCGCGATACTGCACTTTCAGCTTAATATTTTACATAGCCGGTCTCTCCCTTTAAACACTTTTTAATTTTTTTTCAATAAAATGAGACAAAGCTTGGCAATCGGATGATATAGAAATTCGTAAGTGGTTTTTTGAAAGACTATAGTTTGGTTCATGTTTGTAAATTTACTAATATTACCGCATCTGCTGCTATGTGAAGAGGGGTTTCATCAAACTGATTGTTGGCATTCAGAAGGTTTTCACATTCCTCATACGTCGATATTTCCTGAAAATAAACTTATCTACGTTATAAATTGTTTATATCTTTTTTATAAACTATGTTCAGCTAAGTTCCTACAGAAAACTAAATTTTTCAAATATTTTCATCCATGTCTATAAACTAAAAGAGATAGTATAGGTCCAAGAGCCAGACACTTGGCGGTATCTGGATAGATTGATTAGATCTGGCTACTAGATGTACCTTAAGTACTAGGGACTGATTAGTCCTGGCCTCTAGACGTACCTGGAGAACTAAAGATTGATTAGTCTTGGAACCCAGATATACCTGGAGTACTAGAGATTGATTAGTCCTTGCAACTAGATGAAGAATATTTAGATCATCGCTATCTACACTCCGTATATTAGCTCCTCTCTCCTTCAGGGCTCTCACAATCTGGAAAATAAAACGTTATTAAAACAAAAGAATTTTTTTAGGGGGCATTAGTTCCAAAACTAATACTCGGCCCATTTCTAACACTGGTCCAAGTGCTACCTTTAGAGATAATTTTCCCTGATTTTTAAACTTTTGAAAAAAAAGGTATGACTTTAAGGTTATGTTTTGTGCATATTAGGAGTAAAAATCCGATATTACAAGAACAACACTAATGTTTAAATTCTCATATTCTCATATTAGAAATACCAACCAGGATTTTATAATTTCTATTTATAAACTGTTTATTTCTTTTGAAACATATTCATTGTCCATATTTGCAAAATTTACATTTTTTCATACCATGGGGGGGGGGGCTATTCATCTGTTGGGGCCTGAAAACTCTCCAGAAACCAAAGATTTTACTGATCCATGGGGGGGACTGAACCCCCATGCCCCCCCGTATATGGCTCTGATTCCTGTACCTGTACATGTCCTTCTACACCAGCGATCATAATCGGAGAAAGTCGTTGAGAATCCCAGATATTATGGTCTGCATCTCTAGAGAACAATACATTAGGTCGCCTACCACCTCGCCGGTTCAAATTTTGAATCATCGATTCAAAGTTAGAGATGCATGAGATTTAATCAGTGGTTCAAGATCTGAACCAGCGGTAGGAAGTTCAGCGACCTCTCTAATTCATTAAATTCGATCCATGGTAATATTTTATGTTATACTAGCTTAGGAACCCAGCGCTGCCTAGATTTCTCATAGTTACTTCCGCCGTTTACCCGCACTTGGACGATTTTACCGAGAAACTAAATTTTAGATTTAAAAGCCAATCTCCACTCAACTCAACAAGCTAAGAACACTCCCGAGGTTCTTCCGCTTTCTCCAATCAAATTTGAGGCAAATCGGCCAAGAGGTTCCTGAGTTTTGGTCGGACAAGCAAACAGACTGACAGACAAACAGAGATTACAACTTTATATATATAGATATTCATGAAAAAGGATTTCAAGCTGTTAAACAGTATGGATACACATACACATTATAGTTAAGTGATAAGTTATGAGAAGTCGTCAATTAAAAAATCCTCTGTTTAGTTACTTGTAAACTTACAATTCGAAAAAAGCTTCTTAACAATCAAAACTTAAAGAAAAAGCATTCTTCATCGCCTACCACTGTACGTAAATATTAAATTTATTACTTCAGCGCTCCGACGGTTCATTTCCCCCTCGTCGGTTTATTCTAAAACGCTGGATATATTTTTGCTTAGGGGTTAAATCCTTCACTCCTTCAGTTCAATTGTGTTCAATTGTGTTCACTGGGATTATTGAGTTGAGTTGAGTTGAGTTGAGTTGAGTTCTCATATTGACAATAAGAACGAAGAAAAAATTCACATAACTTACATAAGTCGAAAAACATTATTGTTATTATTATTATGCTTTTTAAAACCTAAATTTTGAAGCTGGGTTTGGTCCGCGGAAAAACATGTGAAAAATATACATACTTTGTTACAATGTGAAGTATAATTGCATCGACAGAAGTTACAAGAGCATTTCCGTACAAGACAACTTCCCAAATGTGCATACTTTTTATTTTACAAAATGAATGAGTTTTTATTCTATTTTATAAAAGTTTTAAGAGTTTCTATGACTATATATACTTGTGTTTTTTAATTCTAGAAGACATGGATCGTCAATTATACTAGATTAGTGAAGCATCATCAAGCCAAATTCAGTCATAAACTATCTTCTTGCGATATTTTAAGGAAAAAACCGTTAAAAATTGTGCTTACTGTTCTAAGAGGTATTCTACAATTTCCAGTTTTCCACTTTGTGCTGCAATATATAGAGGAGTTTGCTGCAGACCGTTCGTACAATCTAGAAAACACAAAAACTAAATATATAAAATTCAAAAATGATTTCTTTCATCCATCACATTAATCTTACTGCTGCGTACGCCTTCTTTATAGTCAATATTTAATGAGATTTTGAGAATGCCGCAAACTATTTTATTTTTAGTTTATAAAAAGCTGAAAGACAAAATCCGCAAAGATGTTCTACTACTTTTGTAATTTTTCTAACGTCTAAAATTTCAAATTTATTTTCTCCGAACTGTAGGATCTAACTAACCTATATCAGCTCCATGTTCTACAAGAGTTTGAACCATATCCTTGAGTCCTGTTCTAGCCGCACTATGGAGAGGAACCTCGCCCACATTATTCTTCCAGGATACCTGACAGAGAACATTTAATCAGGATATTCAACCCCCCATCACTTTTTTGGAACCGCTCTAGTACTATTTTAATTTAAAGTGAATGATCAACAATTCTTTCCTAAACTGCCAAGGACATTTCCTATCTTTGTTATTTGTTTTGAAATAACTAGTTCCTATCGGTCCTGGTCCTGGTACGTCTCAAACACATCTCCTTGACTTTTAGTTCGCACACCTTGATATAGGTAATGTTTTAGTAACCATAAACTAATCAGATCTTTGTACATCAAGTTAACAGAAAAAAAATATTCAAAAGATTAAGTTCATTGGATTCTCATGTTTATTAGGACATCTTGTATTTTTTATTTATGTTACTCTGCTGTTCTCCTAATTCTTCAAAACAGAAAATGATTTATAATTTATGATCCAATTTCTAAGAAAACAATAATAAGAAAAAATTATCAATTAGGATTTTAAACTTTAAAAATGCACACAATTGTCTTTTAGCTACATTAAAGCTACCTCTATATATGTACGTCTGTGCGTACACAAAATATATAAAAATCCAACTAGTATAAAACCATATCAATAGCTTGGGAACCCAACTTTGCCGGGAAACTAAAACACTTTCGTAAAAGTCGACCTACGCAACTTAGATTTTTTAAACCAAACTAAGAACCTATAGCTCTACCGAGTTTCCCAAACAAAATTTGTGGCAAATCGTTCTATGGGGTTTCCGAGTAAAGGTAGGCATACAAACAGACAACACAGAGATTACTACTTCTATATATATATATATATATACAACTGGGGTGTCGCGCTAAGCCGATCGGGCCCAAATTTTTTGTGGGACATCATGTGACCACATGGAAGGTTTATGAATGATTGAAATTTTAAATATTTGTCTGCATCAAAATTCGATCTTCATTAAATTTTTGAAAATTTTGAAAATCCACGAAATTTTTTGTGAAAATCCGCGAATTATTTTTGTTTTGTTTTACGATGTACCCAAAGAGAACATGTTCACAATTAATTTAGAAGATGGGCGCGTAGCGCCCTCTAAGGCTAGTTATTTATAAATAGATAGAGCGGTAATCAGAAAACAGTAAATTATTTACGACGTTTTTCTCTAAATATCGCTCTAAATGCTGTAATTTGTGACTAATTTATCTCTTCAAACGTGCCCTAGACATAAATTGGATAAAACAATTACAATTGTTACGAAATCCTTTAAAGTCACGTGCTTTAGAGAGAAGTTCAGTTACATAAAAAAACTGTCTTTTTCAAGGAATACTCAACTCATTAATTTTAATTTTAATTTTTTTATTATTTTTTATTTAACTTCTACATCTTCATCTCACATATTCATATTTCTTACAATTTTTGTGTGATACCATCGAAAATTTAACAATGCTTGGTAAAACGTTATTAATAAATCTGGTAAAAAGAAACACATCTTGATCTTGATTAAAGTCTTGTTCCTGATCTAAGTCTCAATCATAATCTAAGCTCTGACCCTGATGTAGGTCTGGATCCTGATCTAAGTCTTGAAACTGATCTAAGACCTGATTCCTGATCCTGATTTAAGTCTTGATCCTGATCTTAGTCTTAATCCTGATTTGAGTCTTAATTCTGATTTAAGTCCTGATCCTGATCTGAGTCTTGATCCTGATCTAAGTCTTGATTCTGAACTTAGTCTTAATCCTGATTTATGTCTTAATTCTGATATAAGTCCTGATCCTGATATAAGTCCTGATCCTGATATAAGTCTTGATCCTGATCTGAGTCTTGATCCTGATCCAAGCCATGATCGTGATCTAAGTCCTAATCCTCATCTAGGAACCTGATCCTGTTTTTTAAAAGAACTGATTACTTGCCTCATACTCTAATTAACTAATCCTACTGTCGTAGACCTTTGATCACACTTGTATGCGATTCCATTAGCGCCTGATCCAATCAAGGTTCAGTCATGTGTTTGTTTTGTCTATTCTGAACCAATAGAAATTGCATGGCATCTATTTATCTCATAATCCAATTAGAGATGAATCCTTATATCGGGACTAAACAGTAAATGGAAATATTTACTTCTACTGAAACTATTGTGTGATTATAGAGATGTTCTGTTTTATTGGCTAGATAGTATAGATACCTGTGGCTGTAGACCGTGTTCTAGAAGTAATTGTACAAGGTCCAGGCAACCACCGTCTTCACAACAACAATTTTATTCGATTCTTTATATTGACAATTATAAGCGACATTTCAGATCCAAATTTTAAGTGGATTTAGTTATATTTGTGAGCGCGCATTTGAATTATATTATCATAAAAGTACAAAAGTTCCTCACTTAAAAAAAGTTCGTTGCTGCAAGTTAATTCGCATTATTTCTTATTCTTTTGTTATTTTTAATTCTTAATTACTGTCGAAACTATATTTTTGGCGTAGTCTAGTCAGCTCAAAACCTATCAAATAACAAATTATTTTAATCAATACTTTTCCAAAATTAAGAAATTAAAGATTACAGATTACATCAGCAGACCAACAAACGCGGTTTTTATCCCTGAATCAAGAATATATAGTTTAAGGAGAGGGGGGGGGGGGTGATTACAACATCTGTAGGTCTGATTGTAATCTGTATGAAAAGTATAGATCTGATTGTAATCTGTATGAAAAGTGTAGATCTGATTGTAATCTGTATGAAAAGTGTAGATCTGATTGTAATTTGTATGAAAAGTGTAGATCTGATTGTAATTTGTATAAAAATGTGTAGATATGATTGCAATCTGTATAAAAGGTGTAGATCTGATTATAATGTGTATAAAAAATTAGATCTTATTGTAATCTAAAGAAAAAACGTGATTGTAATCTGGATTAAAGGTTGTTCCTACAGCTAGGAGAAGAACACTGTATTGATCCTTGTCCTTACGTTGAGCAAGGACGGAGAACTCATCATGCTCCATGAGAACCTTCATCACCTAACCAGGATATATCTACTCATCAATGCTCATGCACAACCGGTGCGTGTACATTTGAATATCCGAGCTGGGCCAACCTATGCGGTACTAGTTTTGACTGTACCGCCAATTTACAATTACTAAAGCGGCAGACCTGCGTGTGCTCTCAATCTCAATCTTGAACACGATCTTGATCTGGATCCGGATCCAAGTGCAAAATATCAAATATCAACCAAAACATATATAAAAAAACTTAAATCACTAGACATGTTTTTAGATTAGCGGAATTAAATGAAAATTGTTGCATACCATAAAAAACAGCTTTTTATACAGGAATGTATTTTTACTTTCCCCAAAAAAGAGATTGATATTCAAAATTTGAATAACATATACTTAAATAATAGTAGATTATATTCCCTGTATGTTTCCTTCTTGAGCTGCTCTGTGTAAAGCAGTTTTCTTCTCCAGGCAGATCAATCTAGGTTTAGTCAGGTTTATACTTCTCTCATCTCTTTATCTCAGTATCTCTATATCTCATCTGTTTATCTGTTTATCTGTTTATCTCAGTATCTCTATATCTTATCTGGTTATCTGTATATCTGAGTATCTCTATATCTCATCTGTTTATCTTCTTTATCTCATTATCTCTATATCTCATCTATTTATCTGTTTATCTCAGTATCGCTATAACTCTTCTGTTTATCTGTTTATCCACTTTTTTCCCTAGTATCTCTACATCTCTTTTTTTTATTTGTTTGCTTTATCAATTCATTGAAAACATCTTTATCTCTTTTTTATGCTATCGCATTATTTTCTATCATTCTGTGCCCTAGAACTAGAAAGATACAAATCTTGTATCTGCCCTAGAAGTAGAAAGATACAAACCTTATATCTGCCATAGAACTAGTAAGATACAAACCTTATATCTGCCCTAGAACTAGAAAGATACAAACCTTATATCTGCCCCTGAACTAGAAAGATACAAATCTTATATCTGCCATACAACTAGTAAGATACAAACCTTAGATATGCCCTAGAACTAGTAAGATACAAACCTTATATTTGTCCTAGAACTAGTAAGATACAAACCTTATATCTGTCCTAGAACTAGTAAGATACAAATCTTAGATATGCCCTTTAACTAATAAGATACAAACCTTATATCTGCCCTAGAACTAGTAAGATACAAACCTTAGATATGCCCTAGAACTAGTAAGATTCAAACCTTATATCTGTCCTAGAACTAGTAAGATACAAACCTTATATCTGTCCTAGAACTAGTAAGATTCAAACCTTAGATATGCCCTTTAACTAGTAAGATACAAACCTTATATCTGCCCTAGAACTAGTAAGATACAAACCTTATATCTGCCCTAGAACTAGTAAGATATAAACCATATATCTGCCTTAGAACTAGAAAGATACAAACATTATATCCGCCCTAGCACTAGAAAGCCCTAGTATCTAGTAGTAACAAACCTTATATCCGCCCCGACATCTAGTAGTAACAAACCTTATATCTGCCCCCGCATCTAGTAGTAACAAACCTTATATTTGCCCCGGCATATAGTAATAACAAACCTTATATCTGCTCCGGCATCTAAGAGTAACAAACCTTATATCTGCTCCGGCATCTAAGAGTAAAAAACCTTATATCTGCCCCAGTATCTAGTAATAACAAACCATATATCTGCCCCGGCATTTAGGAGTAACAAACCTTACATCTGCCCCAGTATCTAGTAGTAACAAACCTTATATCTTCCCCGGCATCTAAGAGTAACAAGCCTTATATCTGCTCCGGCATCTAGGAGTAACAAACCTTATATCTGCCCCGGCATCTAAGAGTAACAAACCTTATATCTGCTCCGGCATCTAGTATTAACAAACCTTATATCTGCCCCGGCATCTAAGAGTAACAAACCTTATATCTGCTCCGGCATCTAGTATTAACAAACCTTACCGGCATCTAAGAGTAACAAACCTTATATCTGCCCCGGCATCTAAGAGTAACAAACCTTATATCTGCCCCGGCATCTAGGAGTAGTTTCACAACTTCAGCATGACCATATGTTGAAGCAATATGGAGTGCGGTACTTCCCTAACAGGAAAACTATGAATTACAAATTTTCTAAGAAATTTTTAAGTGAAAGTTAATAAACTAAAAGAACATATTTCATAAAAAGAAGAAAAAAATAGATGGACTTCAGTTCTAATATGAAAATTTAAATATTCACTATACTGTATTAAACTTCAATCTGGTCTAGTGTAATTGTACCTTAACGTATATATGCATTCACTTGTACCGGCGAGCCTAGGATAATAATTTGTATAGTCAACCCTCAGCTGATTCCAAAGTGAATAAATACTAAAGTGGAACAGACTAAGGAAACGACGACAGGTTGGGCCATAAGGTTTTATTTGGTTTGGAAATAATTTCATGAAAAGNTATATATATATATACATATTTCTAAATACTTGGGACATAAAATGTCGTCATCCAACTATAAGTTTGGTCCACTTTAGTATTTATTCACTTTGAGCTGATTCACCGGTCAAGTGTAATCATGCTGCTTACAAATTTACTCGTACCAGCCCGTCTAGTGTATTAGGTGATAAGTTGACCCAGGATGTTTTATACTGGTCCTGTGTGGGCCCAGCACTTCAACAAGTAGGATCAATGTGCCCCATCTCCCTCTTTCTTATGCTCCTAGATAAATCCTATACCTGGATATCTCTCTGGTTGAGAAGCTGGTTTGCCCCTAGAGAACTAACTAGAAATTTGACCACAGATATGTTTCCTCGCATAGCAGCATGATGCAGACCCGTCATATTATACGCATCTTTTGCGTCTACATTTGCTCCACACTGCAATCAAATAATGCTTATAAATATTAAAACTTTCAATAATATCTGTTTGCATAAAAAGTTTTATAAAAAAATGTGTAGCCTTATATTTGAAATGTTAATATTTTCTCAAAATAATTAATATTACAAGTGAATTGAAAGTTGGGAGGGGGAGTAGGACAATAGCTAATTAAAGGGACTGCTATTGTAAGTAAAATAGCTAATTAAAGGGACTGTTTTTGTAAGTAAAATAGCTAATTAAAGGGACTGTTATTGTAAGTAAAATAGCTAATTAAAGGGACTGTTATTGTAAGTAAAATAGCAAATTAAAGGGACTGTTATTGTAAGTAAAATAGCTAATTAAAGGGACTGCTATTGTAAGTAAAATAGCTAATTAAAGGGACTGTTAATATAATTGTAAGTGTCCTTTAATTTGAAGACTTGTAAGCACGATAAGCAACGTTCACCTTTAAACCCTTCATGAGCAAAAAAAAATTGAGTAATTCTTGTTTTTTTCTATCAAAAAATAAACAATTTTTTGGTTCTTTGTAAGAAGTGACTTGCTAATTGTCATAGAACATTTAATAGATTTCCATAGAAGCATGCATGATGTAATTCCTTAAAATAAGGATCACTTTTAATGCTTAAAAAGTACTGCTTAATGATTAGGGCTAATTTTATTTAATAAGCTTGACCTGTAAAAGTTTTTTTAAAACTCGTATTCCCAAATAATCTTCTTCAAGCTCTGGAAAAATTGCAAAATATTTAGTTTTGATCAGATACAACAATTACGTAATATCGACAAATTTCTCATATGAATAATAAAGAAAAAAAATTAAATGTCAAATACTATATTGACAGAACTAAACATAGAAATTCTCTATTTGCTTTATTTGTATTTGTATTTGTATTTGTATTTGTATTTGTATTTGTATTTGTATTTGTATTTGTATTTGTATTTGTATTTGTATTTGTATTTGTATTTGTGTTTGTGTTTGTGTTTGTGTTTGTATTTGTATTTGTATTTGCTTTTGTATTTGTATTTGTATTTGCATTTGTATTTGTATTTACATTAGTTTTTGTTTTTGTATTTGTATTTGTATTTGCTCATTTTTTTTCTCAAAAAAATACATACAAAAGTAGGGTTACTCTAATTAGACGCAAATTTTTTTAAAGAACAAAGATCGACCTTCAAAGTCGTCTTTGGACTTTCATGTTTGGTGGGAAACCCTGTAGCTCTATATTAGTTAATACCTGTCTCTTCATCAATTCTACTTCGTCTTCTGGTATTCCCATGCTCTTCATGTCTTCCATACCTAGTAGATAAAGTTAGAGATATTACAGTTATAAATCCTAGTGGATACAGTTAGAGATATTACTGTTATAAATCCTAGTGGATACATTTAGAGATATTACATTTATATATCCTAGTGGATACAGTTAGAGATATTACATTTATATATACTAGTGTTTACAGATATATTGCTTTTATAAATCCTAGTGGTGCACCTATAATATAAACCAGATACCTGCACCTATAATATTAATCATATATCTGCAACTATAATATAAACCAGATACCTGCACCTATAATATAAACCAGATACCTGTGCCTATAATGCAACCAGATACCTGCACCTATAATATAAACCAGATACCTGCACCTATAATATAAACCAGATACATGCACCTATAATATAAACCAGATACCTGCACCTATAATATAAACCAGATACCTGCACCCATAATATAAACCAGATACCTACACCTATAATATAAACCAGATACCTACACCCATAATATAAACCAGATACCTGCACCTATAATATAAACCAGATACCTGCACCTATAATATAAACCAGATACCTGCACCTATAATATAAACCAGATCCTACACTTATAATATGAACCAGATACCTGCACCCATAATATAAACCAGATACCTGCACCCATAATGAAAAGGTGTCATCTGATCAGCTCCAATCCTGTCCACTACTGTTGTTGGTTGCTCTAGGAGAAGGTTCACTATTTCCATATGGGAATACCTGAAGAAAATATCATTCAGGGTTACCCACAAAGCATGAGAATTTAAAGACGGCCTGAAAAATGATGATTTTGAAGGTTGAATTTGGACTTCTGCAAATTTTATGATTTTTATGATTTATACAAGTATATTAGATGATCTAGCAAAAAAGATCAAGTCTCGGATGCAGGCAGGGAGCCTTAAAGAAATAAAATTTTCTTTGATTACATTTTTATTTGAACTAGGCTATCGGGGCGCTTTGCGCCCAATTTCACTTTCAATTGTGAACATTTTCGCTTTGTATACATTGAAAAAATAACAAAAAAAAGATGTTATAAAAAATTTTGTGGATTTTCAAAATTTAATTAAAATCGAATTTAGTTGGAAGCTAATTTTAGAAATTTTAATTATACGTAAATCTTCCCTGGGGTCATTTGAGGTCCCACAAAAAATGTTGGGCCCGATCGGTTTAGCCGCTTTGACGTTTATTAGATACAAACAGATAAACAAACAAACACCCAGACAAGCAAAGTATATTCAATAGATTACCTTGTAGCATAATGAAGAGGAGAACATTTCTTTTCATCTAGATTGTTAATCTTGGCTTGAACCGATTCATCAGACAGCAATCTTTTCAGTTCTTCTAGTTGTCCATCCCGGGATAGCTGGAACACATGTTTACTCATTAAAGGGACTGTAAGCGTAATTTCAAGTGACTCTTCATGCTAAAATGGTAATTCTCGATTCACAACAGTACCCTTGAAAGCTTTGACTAATAAAGTATGAATTAGATATTTATGTTTATTATTTTAAAAACGTGACTTGCGCATTTCTTCTGCAAGAAGAATCATAGATCAGATAAAGGTTTCAAGGTTACCGTTATGCATCGGGCATTGTAATCTCTGCACCTCAAATCCAGGAGAAATGGTTCAACTTAGTCAAACTAGTTTTAGCTACTATTGATTGAATTTGCTCCAAGCGATCAATTTGCAGTATGAAAGAAGAAAAATAATGTTTCCTAAAAATAATTTATCATTTAATTGAGATTGAGATTTTTCCCTGGTAATCTAATAACAGAGGGTAATTTCAGTAAGGGTTCTCTCAGATAATCAAACGTGACTCGACTGACGACAGATATGTATTATGTATAGCAAAATATTAACAGCGTTGTGTTGACAACTTTTGAATTCATAGACTGTATTTTTAATCCCGCGTTGAGTTTAACTCTTCCTGAAAATGTTCGGGTATTAGACCAATAAGACAACTAACAAATGATCAATAAGTCAGGAATTATTTAAACTTCTAAATTCAAAAGTTTTTGATGTTAACTTTTAATTTAGATTAAGTTTACGACTCTGGCAACGTTTGAAAAAATGAAGCTAATCAAAATTGAGTCAATGTAGTTGAGCTCGCAGTGTACTGATCAAACTTCCAAACTTTTGACCAAAAAGAGTCAGTGGCGTGTATTTAAAAAAAGGAATATTTGAGATAAAATACACCCCTGAAAAGAGTGGAGAGAATATGTTTCCGGCCAGTTAAAAGTTTCCAGCTTATGAATTATGTTTTCGTGTGAAACCCGGATTTACTTTTTTATTGACGATTTTCCGGAATTGATTAATTCATAAAATGTGTCACGTTTTTATTCTAAAATGATTGGTTCGATAACAGGAGTAACAAGAATTTATTAGTAAACTGAACACTCTATGAATCTAGTTAAATCAAATATTCTGAACTTGAAATAATTATTATTAAAAACCATCAGATTGCAAATATAAAGGGAAAAATAAATTTGAGTTAGTTGCAAGTATTCAGTTTCTTTAAAAAAATGCGTTCAGTGCTCTAAAGATTTCCAAGAAAGAGAAGGCAATGAAACCCAAGCTGTTTTTCAGGTAAAAAAAAACTTTTATTGTTTATTCATAATAAAAAAAGAAACGTGATGGGATATATCCGCTTGATTGAACAACAGACTCCAAGCTTGCCAGACATTGTTACAATTTATAGAAAACACAGCTAGATCAATATCAGAATATTGCTGATGACCTCGACACCGTATCTTTTTTTAATTCTTAAAATAATTAAAATAGTCCATTTTGTGGCTACCTTATTTGTTGTTAAAACATTACCAGAGATTTAAATTTATTTAACAAAACAATATGTATACAATGATGGGTGGGGTGCAGAGCCGCCATGATCCCCGCAAAATGACCTTCGGAGCCTCCTCATACGCAGAATCACCTCTAAACCCGTCTTCATGCCACTTGCTACGTCTCCAAGCCTCCGCATCTTGATCTCGGCTTGCTGTATTTATATTTTATTTATCTTTTATGGCTTAACCTTAAAATCAAAATAAATATCTTCATAAAATCCACAATAGTTTATAGAATCCTTTAATCCACACAGTTAAAATATTAATTTATTCAATTAATCTATTTTGTTTAGTTTTGTAAACTTGTGCCATAATATAGTTTGATTTGTACAAGATACACCTGTAAAATATAATAATATAAAAATACAATAGTTATTCACAAAATAAGGTAATTGTGAAATTTTGAAAACAAAAACAATTAATCTTAATCTTGATTTAAATAGACTTTTCAAAACAAATTGTTTATGTATCATTATAAACTATTTTATCATGTTGTGATTATTTGAAAAAAAAGTTTTTTTGTGTATGTAAAAGCCAAATATCTTTTTTAAAGACCAAAATGCATGGAAACAGAAGGGAAGAGGCTTTGAGTGGTAGTTAGAGGCGCGGAGACGGTTTTGCGGGGCTTGGAGGGCATTCTGCGTATCAAGAGACTCGGAAGGTAATTTTGCGGGGTTAATGGGGCTCTGCACCCACTCCCTCACACAATGAGACCAATACTGTTGAATATGAAGACAGCATTTCTGTATTTTATATATATTTGATGTTGTAAGAAACGCAACAAATTTTACCAGTAGCCAGACAGATGCTAGAATATCGTAGCATAAAGTTAAATGGGTTTGTGTTATACACAGGACAAACATGCTGTTTTTTATGTCCAATTTAAAATTTAAAATCAAAACTTGAGTCTAACAGTAGTCATCCTGTTCCCCAGTTTTATGGGTCTCACTGTATGTTTATATTAAATGGTACATAGACTTTATTTTGCCTCAAAGCTTATCGGTCTTGCAACTTGCAAGATTGTCTTGATCCACACTATTTTTTAAATGACCTCTAAGCGTAATTTCAAGTAACACTCACTGCAAAAATGGCAATCCTTGAAACCATTGTATGGCCAATGTGGAAGATATCGTAGTTTTTCTAGATTTAGAAGTCTTTCATTCATTCATTCATTCATTCATTCATTCATCCTTCCTTTCACCCATTCATTCATTCATTCATTCATTCATTCATCCTTTTAGGTAAGTTCTATATGCTTTACTGCAGTAGAATTACGCAAGTCACTAAAATTGAAAATAATCGGTTTTTAAAATCTTAGAATTTTTTAATTCATACTTGATCAGAAAAGGATTTTAAGGGTAATTCGGACATTGCCATCTTTTACTGGAGGGTCACTTGAAATTGCGCTTGAAATCAACCACCCCCTAGTAGGCACCATCTTCGATTTTTTTCAAACTTTAAATATTAAAAGAACTATGTGAGACATTACATAATCAGTAATTTTTAAACCGTGTTGGCCTCCGTGTGCAAAGAGGTTGCTCTTTTCAAATAAACATATTGTGTGAATTTTAAAAAGTTTTTAAAAGTTTAAATTTGAAAATATCAACCGCTGAAATTTATTTTATCGATTATTTTAATAACCAACAAATAAAGTTTTATTCATTGCCTTTTTTATGACGTTAAAATTAGGTCGATATCTCAAAAAGCAAAAAAGATATGGTAATTTGAAAAGAGCAGCATCTAACGAAGGTCAACAGAGTTTAAAAATTACTGATTATGTAATGTCTCACATAGGTCTTTTAATTTTTTAAGTTTGAAAAAAAATCAAAGATGGTGCCTATGAATTTTGGAAAAAGTGGCTGATTTCAAATGGACTCACCCTTGAGTCTTTGACGCAAACTCTGATTTTCTAATCCCTGTATCGTAAACCTTAGATTATTTCAAATAATCTAAGTTTGAAATATGAAAGGTTTAAACCCTCAGGTTTAAAAGATGTACGGATTGGAAAATATGAGTTTGTGGCAAAGATTCAATTTATTTACCTTTGACGCTCTGTATAGTCTGTACCTGATGGATTCCTTGATTGGTTGCTAGTGAATATCTCCAGGATCGAGGTGTACCTGGTCCTAAACCCACACACTTTAGATATATCATGCTTCCGGGTCCAAATTTAATGAATTTGAACTAGGAACTAAACTACCGCCGGTTCAAATTAGAACTACCGATTCAAAGTTAAAGATTCATTAGGATTTGAATTGGCGATTTAGGAGTTGAACCGGTCGATGCAGTAGGAAGCTTAGCGACCTCTCCAATTCAATAAACTCGGTCCCCGGTCACAAATTTTCGGATTTGTATTAAATTCAGAAACGTTGAAAGGGTCCCAAAGAAATGCGCAAGGTTAGATCAAACAAGAATTTCAGTTTTTCAGCAAACTCAACCTCAACCACTAATATTCTAATCCATATAAACCTTACAACCTTTTATATTGAACTATCAGAGTTCATAGTTTGAAATGTCATTGGTCTACGGAATCAAGATTGTCGAGATAAAAAATAATTTGAAAATTCGAGTTTGAGGCAAGTATTCCTCTTGCATGTATTAAAACGACAAAAATGCTATTACCAATCAAATATTTAAACCTAGACAGAATAATTTAGCGAAAACATTGAATTTATGTGTTATGAAAATAAGATTTTTTGCAAACCTTAGTATAACGTTATAATTAAATTCTTTCTTTTTACATTCAAGGGTTAAAAAAACTAAAACTTCATCCTCAGAGATGTAAACCAAAGAATATTTTTAACTTTTTTGTTTTATTTTTAAAGATTTTTAATATTTATGAATGTTCATAAATGGTTTACATTTGCCGGATTCACATACGTAACCTTTATCTCATTAATCAATTGAAATATATCGTCGTTTTTACAACTTAAATATTTTATTGACAATAAGCTTCATTGTTTCTGTGGCAAAAATCCGCAAGTCACTAGATTATACAGAAAACACAAAAGAAAATGATCAATTTTTTAGATAAAAGCTAGAGTTTTGTTTTTAATCGGACTGTCGGACATACCACTTTAAAAACGGCAGGCGCTTGTCACTTGAAATTCCTTAAACATTCTCTTTAATTTTTAATGTCTGATTTAGTAGCATGGGTTCCCTGTATCTAGGATAAGTTCATCTAGAGGGTTTAGATCCAATAACTTCATTCCATCCACCTAAATGTTTGATAATCTATCAATCTGTTTCTGTGTATACTGTATATGTCCATAAGTGTATATTTCTATCTTTGTCTATCTATCTACCTTTCCATCTATCTACCTTTCCACCTTTCTGTCTGTCTGTCTATCTAAGTTTCTGTCTATCTATCTTTCTGTCTATCTATCTATCTGTCTATATAGGTATAAATCTGTTTATGTACTTTCTTTCTGTCTATTTTTCTCTTCATCTTTCTGATTATCTATCTTCATGTCTATCTATCTATATTTATCTATCTATTTTAATTATCTATCTTCATGTCTATCTGTCTATCAATCTATCTAGCTATCTGTATATTTATCTTCTTTCTCTCTGTCTAGCTATCTATCTCTTCATTTTTCTGGCTATCTGTCTTTCAGTTAGCTGCAAACTCTGCTAGTAGGTTTGTTCGCACATCAAGGAATTGAGTTTTTGCCACAAATTTTCTTATTTTCTAATCCCTACCCAATGATTAGATATTCAAATTATGAATTCTGTTAAAATAATCTAATCTTACTCAAATATTCGTGATGTTAGTCGTTTTATTCCGTTTTTCAAAACTTTTAATGATACTTCCAAGATTTCAAAACTGTAATCTGTTTAAGTTTGCTTTTATTAAAATTTGAAATATTTTGTCTTAAAAAATGGAAAAACGACGGGTTTTTGATTCCCCTTGAACCTGGGGAAACAAATAAACACAACCCTATTTATCTTTTACTATCCATATATTTTTCTGTTTATCTGTCTTAATGTCATTATGTCTGTTTTTTGTCAAATGTATGTCCGCCTGTTTCTGTTTTTATGTCAATCATGCAAAATAATATTATTCAGACACTAAAAATAATTGTTATGAATGTACGTATGAATATGCAGATCCGTAATGCGCGCATAACTTGAGTAGCCGTACGCTGTATTTTTACATATTCATTACAAGGAAAATCATAACAAGGATTTTTAGCGAGATTAAGTAAATCTGGCTCCTCTTCATAAATTGGAGAGTTATTTATAAAAATAAAATTTTTCCTAATCCTCTTTCTGGTCGATAAATATACATCCTTATTATAATTTATTTTTCTTTTGATGCTGAATTTCTTTTTCGTACATTTATAACTAATTAATAAAACAAAATTTCCTGCATTTCCTGCCGGATTTATAATTTTTTTGTAAAAAATCAAAATATTTTCAGAGTCAATGGCCCTGAATCAGTTCAGTAGTTTAAAAGTTTTTTTTTGACAAACAATAACAAAAACATACATGAATATTTCGACGCTAAACTTTTTATGTTTCTAAAATCTATAAGTATAATGTGTTAATCACTGTTTGTCTGTCAAATCATAAACTTACAAGCATATTGACCAATTTGCCTCAAAATTGTATTGGAAAACTCGATAGAATCAATTGGGAATGTTCTCAACTTGGTTTAAAAAGTAATAATAAACGTGAGTTGCCAAACAAAGCTGGGTTCCAAAGCTAGTGTATTAATTGCAAGGGTGAGCATTGAAGAAATGGAATTGCTCCCAGTATCTCCGGAAAACGGAAAGATAATTTTGAGTTGGCTCACCCCATGTAAATTCCTATATCTGCACATATATGTAAGGAAGCAATTTATAGTCTTTACGTGACATATTCAATTTAACACTTTTACCTTAAACCCTAGATCACTACTCTAGAGAACAATATTAATATTCTAGAGAACAATATTAATATTCTAGAGAACAATATTAATATTCTAGAGAACAATATTAATACTCTAGAGAACAATATTAATATTATAAAGAACAACATTAATATTATAAAGAACAAGATTAATATTATAAAGAACAATATTAATATTCTAGAGAACAATATTAATATTCTAGAGAACAAGATTAATATTCTAGAGAGAACAAGATTAATATTCTAGAGAACAATATTAATATTCTAGAGAACAAGATTAATATTCTAGAGAACAATATTAATATTATAAAGAACAATATTAATATTATAAAGAACAAGATTAATATTATAAAGAGCAAGATTAATATTCTAGAGAACAATATTAACATTCTAGAGAACAATATTAATATTATAAAGAACAATATCAATATTATAAAGAACAAGATTAATATTATAAAGAACAATATTAATATTCTAGAGAACAATATTAATATTCTAGAGAACAATATTAATATTCTAGAGAACAATGTTAATATTCTAGAGAAAAATATTAATATTCTAGAGAACAATATTAATATTCTAGAGAACAATATTAATATTATAAAGAACAATATCAATATTCTAGAGAACAATATTAATATTCTAGAGAACAATATTAATATTATAAAAAACAATTATAATAATCTAGAGAACAAGATTACAAATCTAAAGAACAAGATCTAAGACGCTAAAAATTTGGATCTGTTAATTAAGATATTTTGAGCTTGTAATGTACCGTATACCGTATACACCCAATTCAACTGAAAAAAATTTTAATTTTAAGTTTCTAAATGTAAAAATATAATTATCTTTAAAATTATTTATAAGCTAACATTATTTTTATCGAGAAAATTTACCACGGAACTCATGAAATTGAAACCTTGTAAAACAGCCATTTGACGATATTCTCAGAACCTGAATCCCTGAACTCACAACCTGGATCTCTGGTCTTAGAACCTGGATCTCTGAACTCAGAACCTATATCTTTGGTCTCAGAACCTATATCTCTGAACTCAGAACCTGGGTCTCTGGTCTGAAAACCTATAGATCTCTGGTCTCAGAACCTGAATTTCTGAATTCAGAATGTGGATCTCTGAATTCTGAATTCAGATGCTGTATCTCTGAACTCAGAACCTGTATCTCTGAACTCAGGACCTGGATCTCTGGTCTCAAAACCTGGATCCCTAAACTTAGAACATGGATTTCTGGTCTCAGAACCTGGATCTCTGGTCTCAAAACCTGGATCCCTAAACTCAGAACATGGATATCTGGTCTCAGAACCTGGATCTCTGGTCTCAAAACCTGGATCCCTAAACTCAGAACAAGGATATTTGGTCTCAGAACCTGGATCTCTGGTCTCAAAACCTGGATCTCTGGTCTCAAAACCTGATCTATAAACTCAGGACCTGGATCTCTGGTCTCAGAACCTGGACCTCTGGTCTCAAAACCTGATCTTTAAACTCAGAACCTGAATCTCTGGTCTTAGAACCTAGATCTCTGAACTCAGAACCTGGATCTCTGGTCTCAGAACTTGTATCTCTGTTCTCAGAAAAGGAATCTCTAAACCAGAACCGTGATCTCTGAACTCAGTGCCCGGACCCTGAACCAGGGGCGGATGCAAGGGGGGAAGGCAAGGACCTTTGCGCTCCCCTAAGATTTCAGAAAAGCTTCACAATAGCACTTAAGGGAAAGAATCTGGATTTTTGGGTTCTCAAATAAATCTAGCACCCCCCTCACTTAAATCCTGTATCCGCCCCTGCCCTAAACCCAAAACATACGGCCGATTTCTTATACAATGTTACCATAGGTACAACTATAAGTCGTATCTATCTATCTACACTGCTCTGGTAAAGCGTAACCAAAGTATGACTGTGGTTCTCCTGGTGCTATGGAAACGCCTCAACACGGAAACGTCTCAACACGGAAATGCCTCAAAAAAAAGCGGAAACCCCTCAAAAACCGGTTTTTTTGAGACGTTTCCGCAATTTCTGCAAGAAAAACGGAAATCCAAGTTTTGAGGGATTTCCCAAAAAAAAACGGAAATTCCTCAAAACCGGTTTTTGAGGCATTTCCGCGTTGAGACGTTTCCGTGTTGAGGCGTTTCCATAGCACCGGTTCTCCTTTGGTAGAACGTCGAGAAATCGGCCAATAGATTTCTCATCATGAGAATCTCATGTCAAAACCTAAATCTCTCAACGCAGAACCTGGATCGATGAATCCCGTTGAACATAAATCCTCGAACCTAACCAAGGACCTGGGATTCCAGGAACCTAGTGCACCCAGTTAATTGATATAATACCTCTTCATCTTCTCCTTCTTCATTTTCTAGACTTGGTTCTTCTACATTTAGATCCTGATATTCACACATTCTCACGTGTTTAAAATATTAGATTATTCAATAATCTTAGAATTAAGACGACGGGCCACGGGGCTAGGCCTTTTTAAGTTCAATGTTTACACTACGAATACTACAAACGAGTACTCAGCTCAGAGAATCAGCTGATTGTTGTGCCGGAGAGAAACTCAGTTATTTAGTAAGACAGTAATTTATAGTTTGTTATAAGGAATAAAACACGAATTCGTTGGAGAAATGTCAACACACATAGTGCAGCTGCACGCTGAATTTTGTTTACAATCCTCACAAAAACTGCAGTACAAATTAATCTAATGGAAGTTCCTTTTATATATTCCTTGGTTCATACAAAAACACCGAAAAACTATGAGAGTTCAGAGAGTTAGGAGCGTCTTTAGAAACAATACTGTTAGGAGTTAGGCTAATTTTGAGATATGATTTTAAGAATCTTGGATCTCGGTTACTGAAATCTAGTTTTTTCTTCAATAAAACATTTATTGGAATCATTTGATGGATACATTAAACCTAAGGTAAACTACCAAAACTGAGTCTTTATATCGCAGACTTTGATATTTCAAATTATGGATTCTGCTATATCATATTATCTAAGTTTGAAATATTAAATGTATATATCACCAAGCAGGGTGCAAAGATATAAGGATTTAAAAATATAAGTTTATTGTAAGAAATCAGTGTCTTAAACCTCCATGCAGATAATCATTTAAAAAGTATTTCGAAAAATGCCCACTCAAAATTTTTAAAAAAGACATAAAATCGTCAAAAATGTTTTAATGAAATAATTTCATGACTTTTTATCTAAAAGATTGTATAACCTGTAATGGTATGGTTTCCTACAGAAGTCCCACATCATATTAAGGATCGTGTTTCGTGTTATTATAGCTTTAAATTTCGATTTCCGTGACTAATAGAGAAAATTTAAAAAGAACAAATCATTAAAAAAATTGTATATTGCTAATATAGAGATTTGCATTCAGAAAAAAAACAAGGGTTTTTGAGTATTATATGCGTATTTTGGCGTTAAAGCATGAAGATAATCTAATATGATATCGGACGCTCTGTCATAAAAATCATTGAAAAAAGACATTGAAATCAAGCTAGAGATTATTTCTCACAATTAAATTCAATGAATAAAAAATTTAATTTTTTGGAAACTCTTCTTGTCTTTCTCTAATACATTTTGATCATTAAGATTTGTGTAAAACAAAATTTCCCCTGTTTGATCATGTTTCTGAAATATACTTTGCAATGTATAACTGCACATCGAGACTTTTTTATTTTAAGTGTTTCCATGGTAGTGTTTCCACGAATTGGCTAAATCTTTTGCGCAAAATTTGCGCTATTTTCGCGCAAATTTGTTTTTTGCGAACTTTTGCGCTATTTTTGCGCATGAAACGAAATGGGTTTTGCGCGGTTTTGCGTTATTTTTTTGGCGCAATTTGCGCAAAACCGGAAATATTTTTTGCGAAAGTTGCGCATGAAACGAAATTTTAGTTTGGAGCAATTTTTTTGCGCAATTTGCGCAAAACCGCAAGTTTTACGCAAAATGTAACTTTTTAGGCAAATTGTCAAAAATTGATATTCTAAGCATAGAATTAAACAACTGGAGATTTATTCCATACATAAAAAAATATTAACATACGAATAAAATAACGATTATACTACACTCAATTGGTTACTTCCAGTTACAAAAAGTTTAAATTAAGGGGAAAAAAAATTAATTAAAATAGAAATTAGAGAGTGTGAAACTTGGCAATATTTTAATCCTATCATATAATTTCAAGTGGCCCTTAAAAGCTTTGCCTAATTAAGTATGAATTATATTCTTAAATTTGTTAATCAAATTTCTGAAATCTTTTTAATCTCATATAAAATAATGCAAGAAAGTAACCAAAGCCTAAAGAATCCACTTTTAGGAAATATGCATGTCCAAAACTAAAATTGTCGAGAAAATTGTGAGATTTGAACTCTTCTTAACTGTCATTGGTCAATTATGTAAAAGTGACCAATAGGAAGACATTCCAAAACAAGATTTTCTCAGAATTGAATTCTAAGAAACACAAACGTCGTCACCAACCGTTTGATTTTTACGGAATCGCGCAAAACTCTAGTTGCGGAATTGCGCAAAACTTGAGTTTCGCAAAAGCGGAATAGGGCAATTTTGCGCGAAATGACTTTTGCGAATGATTGCGCAAATTGTTGTTTTTTCGCGCAAAACTGATGCGCAAAGAAAGAAAAATTTTGCGTTTCGTTCCGCAAAAAATGCGCAAAAGTTTTGCGAATGGAAACCCTATAATCCATGGACTTCTATTTCTCGTAAGTTTCAATTTTTATGATTATTTTCCTGTGACCTTAATGCTTTTTTCGTTACGAATTACGATGTCTACTCCTAAGTTTAAAAAACACGTTCCATCTGGGTTACCTGCAGGTTTCTCAACCCACGGAGCAGGAAGAACAAAAATTTATCATGCTCTGAATGTTGCTTCATACGACCCCGAGTATCTTGACAACTTCGGGGTTTTTGTTGAAAGAATCATGGAAAATATCAACCAGACTGGGGCCAGGACAGTTTTTATACCACCCTATCCAAGGTACCCTACAGCATGCTGTACACAGTCAGGCCACTTTTGCGCTGGGTTCAACGGAAACCTCTTTAACGCAGAGGTTGTAAGACTGGGGACATACATCTCACGTTTGCACGCCCTCAAGGATACATCCATATTTTAAAACCTTAACCTATAACCTTAATCCAAATTAAAATAAGAACCAATTAAATTAAATTCATAACTTATACCTATCCTATAATCTTTTGAGGTTACTCGACCCAAAAGGACTCCTAATACAATGAAAAAATGCATCCAAATCCTTTCGCACAAGCGTATTCATAATTTAAATTTTCAACTTACCTCTTTCCTAAAAATTCCTCTTGCTTCGCTTTAATTGCAATAAAATAATCCTAACCACTTCATTTATCTCAAACCTGAGGAGTGGATTGTGGCTAAATAGCTTGAAGAAAACGGTAAGAAAGAAAAAAATTATACTTTTTCTGACAAATACACTCATGCTTTCTAACTTGATTCTGAAAATTGGATCTAATACAAAGTAGATAAGCATAACATTTAAGCAATCTTTAAATGAGATTCTGAGTTATGATCGAAAATTCTTTATTATAAATTTATTCATGTCCTACATAATCTTTTATACCTTGTCTCCTTTCTTAACAAATACAAAGAAAAATGGAGCTAATACAAAGTAGAATAGCAGAAACTTTAAGCAATCATTTAATGATTGTCAGAGTTATGATCGGATATATTTTTCCAACAAAAAATCCTTTATGCCCGGCATAACATTTTACATTTTATCATCTAAACCTGATCATGAAAAGATAGAACATCAAGCTTTCAATAACAAACCCATTTTGTTTGTCTTTTTTTTTATCTCTTATTTATCTTTGTTGTTCTGTAAAGAAAATAAAATACAGGCTTAATTTTTAAATTTGTGAAGAAAAAAAAACATTCTTGGAGTTTATTTTCTCTTCTTGTCTCAAAAGTTTCATGGATATTTCTATGAATTTCATTTTTCTTTAATTTTATCTCCTCTTTCTTTTTTAAACTAGTTGGACGAGAAATCCACAGAACCTGGTTACTGGAGCTGTCTGGGCACATATTTTGTTGAATGTGTGATCAACTCCGAAACCTTGCTTGGAGATTAATCTGATAAAGAACAACGGACGATAAATCTATGAGATCGTGGTCTTACTGGAGTAAACGGTAAAAAAAAGAATTTCCAAGGGATTTCGGAACTATTTTGAAACGAGAGAAAATATTATATGAGACCCCCCCCCCCCCCTAATCTCTAAACTAATACTCCAAACTATGAATATTAATTAATATTGCCAAACTATGTCACGCTTTTCTTGATTTTGACATTAAGTAAAAATTTTTGAGCTTAACAAAATCTGGCGAGATGTTTATACTTTGAGCCTAAACCTAGTCTTTTGCTTTATGAACTTGAAATCTTAAAATTTCTAATAATATAACTGTATAACGGTTTAAAGACTCTAACTGAGAAAAGTTATAAACTATTTTGTTGATCTTAAACCGACTATTTAAAATATTATTTTTTAATTTGCCCATTTAAAGTATGTCGCAACGTCGCATGGGAAAGATTCTTATTCTTATAAATAATTAGTATTTTTATACTTGAAGCTGAACCCGAGACAGGAGCTAATTACTTCCCGGCTGCTTGATCTCGGAGAAGAACTTTTCCAGCGCAAACATAACCGTAAAAATAGAATTTCATTGCGGGATCTAACTAAAGTTCACAAATTCATAAATTAATTGACCTGTTTTTATAAATAGAAGATGGACACTGGAACCGTGAACTTGTAAGTTTACAGAGGTTTATTATTTCATTACTGTCTACGTCTTTTAAAATAAAAACACCCCCATAATCTAATCCTCCTCATCATAGATTGAAGCTTTAAGTACGACTCAAACACACTCGTAAAGTAAATTTAACTATACTAAAATGTAAAAAAATTCTTATTTTTTTTCTTATTAAGACTAAATTGCAATAATGATCAGTGTTTGAGTTTGGATTAAATTTTGATTTCAATTTCTACTAATTAATTGATTGAATGATTGATAACCCCAGAAGCAAACCGCAGAAACAAATAATATGTTAGAATTCCTTAATCTTTCAGCGGCTGGGACTATTAATGTTTCTACTGTTTTAATCGGTGTTTTTTATTTTATTCAGTATAAACTGATCCCGGAACACTGGCAGAATGATATCGGAGAATAACCCACTCTTCTGCTTGATCTCGGAGTGGAACCTTTCCAGCGCAAATATAACGTATAATCTGATCCCGGAATACGGGCAGAAAGACGGAATGTTTTCGGAAAGGAACCCAATCTACTGCAGAATTATAACGTACGAGCACAACTGATAAGCCTCCTGATTTCGTGGTTAACGGAAATAAACTTCACCGCAACAAGCAGAGGAACCATGACCTCACAACGATGATCCGAGCTTCCCACTATCATTTTTTATATATTTCCAATATTTTAACAAGGAACTGTCAATGTTCATTGCTATTAAAGATGGAAACTAGCTCCCAGGCATGTTTATGTTAAAAAATGCACAAAGTTATTTGTGGCATTCTATAACAAGAGATAACACATAATATTGTTCATATCTCTAAATGTATGTTTATCTGAAAGCATGCACACTGTCAATTATAGCATTCTTCAATAAGAGATAACACATACTGTGTTTGTAGTTCCCCCCAGTCATACTTCACAAAGTATGATATCCTTTAATATATAATAAAGTTCTTTTTTTTCTGAACTGTTGCTTTGTCAATACTCTAACATAATTTTACCAGAAATCAAAACATGAAAGAACTTAAAAATAAAATGTATCTGTAAAATTCTAGATTTCAACCTTATCAATTTATAATTGTATGTATACGATAACATCGCATAAAATTTTTTTTGTTAAATCTATATCATCAATTTTGTAAACAGTAGATACTTAAATAAATATCTAGA